GCTTTTAAATGGCCCCATAAAACTGACGTCCAGCGGCTGTAGGTGGTGGCTGCAATGGGGTGGAAGACAAACTACAGTGGCATGATTTGCCGTTGCCCTCTCTAGAAACACCAGGTTCTTAGTATGGGAAGCGTGTCCGTCTAGTAATAGCAACACGGGATTTTCAGCTGTCGGGCGCGTATGGTTAAGAAAATGATCAACCAAGAATTAAAGTCTTCCATCGTCATCCAACCCGATGAGTTGCATCGAAACACAGTATCCGGTGGTGCGCCCTGCTTAAGACTTTCACATGCATGCGGTTGATAATAATCCCCTTTCTCCGGACGTAACACAGCCCACTTGTCGCCTTCCACGGAGCGCCAGTACCTTAGATTTCTTTTTTTGAATCTGCAAAATTATAAAAAGTATGTAATAATATGAGTGTACAACTACCCTCCCCTTGGCTAGTTTTTAACCTGGACGTTGGTAGGCGGGCCTAATCTTATGCTTCATAGTGGAGCGTTGGAGACGGTTGGTTTAGGTCCGGCATCGTTGGCTCATGCCGTGACAGAATAGCGTCATAAGCATGCGATGAGGATTACTGAGCTTCCCCTCTCTGATGAACCATTGCATAAGAACCAAAGTTCTAGCCTGAAGTGATAGTATCACACTTGTTACTCCTTAATTTGAAAGCCGCGTTGTATTACGCTTACGTATAGGCACTGGAGTTGGGTGCGATACTGGCGGGTTTTGCCGCAAATCACTCTTATTTTATTTATTTTTACGCAGATAGATTTATTTGGGTTTGCAAGGGAATTATACTATTGAAATATTTCAGAAAGTGCTTAACAGTGCTCCTTCTATTTGCGTGACAAGCTTTCATTGTTGTTTTCATTGAAGTAGGTATTACTCAGAGAACAATGTTAAACACCATTTTTGTACATGGTATTGTAACTAATCTTATACGTGCTTCATTTTGATTTGGGATAAATGTTTGAACTATGGCTCGGGATTCCACTGTGGCGTGCTTCTGTTGTGACATATCCATACGTAATTTTTTGGGAGGACATAGTGGAAATGTGTGAGCGTAGTTGGAGCATATACCCTATATAATTTAAAAATCAGTTAGGAAACTATCTTCAAAGTGAAGCATTTTAGTCACATGAAGGTGTCACCTGGGACGAACTAATATATAATAAATATAGGTCAAAGACAAAAACAATTTGATACACGTTAAATTTTAGATTATATGCACAAGTGCAGGTACTTAATAAAGCATGTGTTATAATTGATTAGGTAGATTAGAGATTTCAATTATTTATTAAATTAGGCTAATGATCATCATAATCATCAAATGCACTTAAATTAGAAAATTTAGACAGTCTTATAACATTAAGTAGATTAACAAAAGAGTTAGGATGCGGGGGGTCCGCTTAGGGAGGCAACTAGCCTTTAAAGCAACTGGCAACTAGCCTTTTCATATATTGTCTGTTTATTTTGATGGTTGCTTTAAAATATCAATTTACATTAATTCAGCAATCGACTAAATTTTCAATAGCAACCAAAAATATCCATTAGTAACGTCTCAACAGCGCGTCATCTAGATAAAATTGATAAATAGCAGATTTTTAGCGATGGGCCCAATCTTAGATCCATAGGCCAACATTAGAGACATTTCCCCTATGTGAAAAGATGAATGGGTGGGAGATGGATTCTCGGTTTCTTTACATTTTGCAGCACAAATCTAGTACTATGTGTCATTTCCTCAAAACCCCCCAATAACCGACCTCTCCAATCCCTTCCCATGGCGTTCAAGTGGTCCGCATAGACTATTCAGCCATTACCCTTCCTTTATCCTCGGCTTTGGATTGACTTGCGCTCCCATTGCCCCACCAAACGCTGCAAAATGAAAATGAAAATGAAATAATATGAGTGTACAACTACCTGTACCTAGCCTACCGTCACAACGGAGGTTTCATCCACGTTAAAGATCCGGCTTGGCGTAAACTTCTCGGCCGCGGTAACTTTTTCCAAAACATTGTAAAAAGTCTCTACATTATGCCTGTTGAACGCTTGTACACGCGCAGCTGATGTGGCTTCCGGTCTTCGAAGCGATAGTTCCGGATGTCTCTTCCGGAAACCCCTGAGCCAGTCTTTGCCAGCCAGTTGACTCTCGACGTTGAACGGGTGCTGTATTTGATTCCGAACCGCCATCTGAAAAGCCAAGCTGCGGGATGAAAGATCTACCACCGATTCCTAGTCCTGACTACTTCAAACTAGGGGAACAGGATCTTTCAGTAATCAAAGGAACACATCTTAGTCCTTGTGACTTTTTATGCCTTGTTGATAGTGATAAGTCCTCGGGTTGCCTGGACCGAGGATGATCTTGAAACAAGGAAAAAATGAGTTAGTTAGTCTTCATCTATGTGATTCCTAATCTTCTATTAGTTGTTCCCTAGTTTGAAGTGGTTAAGACTAGGGTTCTGATGCATGGTCATTATCGGTGTCATACCTTAATTTTGTTGCTAAGGAATCCAATTTTGACTGACAAAGGGGCGCGCCTTTGGAGGGTGTTTCAACACTCCGAAGGGTATAAATAGCGGGACCTTTCAATTAGAGTCGGATCCTTGCGTTAAATGCAAGAGTGGCAACTGTAAAAAAAATCGAATACTTCATCATTTCTCAATAGTGATGGAGTAATACGACATGCACTAAACTAAGGACACGGGATATACTACAATAGATCAATTTACTGGTCGCAGTAGTTTTAGGTCCCGAACAGAGGAAGAAAAAAGCTAAATAAATACCTACGACGCGGTATTCTGAGTTCTTAAAACCTTATTTAGGATCAACTGATTTTTTATATTGCGCAGTAAAGATATGCCCAACTTACACATTTTACGACATTTTTCAAAGTTTAAATGCGTTTTATACAATAATTATCTAGAAATTAATTGCAGTGCCGGTATAGAAATAATTTATTTTGAATAGAATATTATTTGCATAGAAATTTATGGCTAAAATACAGGGTTCTCATTATGCCCCACTATGCCCCGCCTACCCCTATTATTACTTTTATTTCAATGATTATGATAATTCAAACTATACATTTACATTTTTGTCTGTGTATATATTTTTGTTTATAAATCTAGTTTTTCCTAATTTCTGTTTTGGTCTAAAATCTATAACGAAAAGAGCTATTCTTACATCAATGGCTCATTTTCCAGATTCAGTTAAGAATATACTTTAAAGTACAAGTCTTTAAATTTTAGAATGTTCAACATTTAATAGTTTTGATTATAAATCTGTTTTTTGAGGCAGCTTATGGCACTTACGTTAAGTAAACACGTAGCCCTTCATTAATTGTTTTAACGAAAAAAGTTTCTTGTAGAACTTGGACAAATTCCGTTGAAGTGATGGAAAAACCTGGAAAACTCAGGGAATTGTATTTAGCAAAATGAGTAGGGGCTCTATAATAAAGATAGTAATAGTAGAGTATCACCTTAAACCTTTGAATTAAAGTTAAAGTGGATTTAGGGCAGATTTAATTCAAAATTTCTTGTAACAACCCTCAAAATGACAGCAATTGGCCCACGCAGGTTTCAGCTTTACGTTTCTCTCTCATTGAATGTTTAGGAAATGTTATTATTACGAAAAATATGTTGTTATGCGAAATGAGCATTTGCAACCTAGCTCTATGTAGCTCTGAGATAACTATACCCCCATCCCCCCCTTTCTCAATATTCAAAATTCCTGATACAGACAAAAACAGCTGCCGTACAGGCATTTTGCAAAATTATCTGGCATCCCTGACACCAAGTGAACTTGACATTGGAGATCCACTTTTGTACACAAAACCGTAATGTGATATGTAGCTCACCGCTCGCATTCGCGCGATAGCAGCGACCGAAAAGAGAAAGCGCAATTAGGAAAATTCTCATTCTCACTTATTTATTCGGCGTGCAACAGTTTGTGCATTCCTTCCACACTGACCTCGATTAATAAAACAATAACAGAGAATCCTGTTACACGATCAATAGTGGATTCGTTCCATGTTCTGGTATGAATCATATCACGCCGAGAAGAAGTGGAGAACCATGCGTCCACTTTCTTCCCCCTTCCCATCATAATTCATCGATTGAGTTCGACACCCACTGACGACGCCATGCACCCTCTTCCTAGTGGGAGGTAGACGGCCTACCGATTTAGTCCTAAGCTCGCTCTCACGTCGCATTTTTTTTGGTTTGGTTTTGGAGAGCAGGCATCTAACATACACTCTGGGAGTAGATACTAGCGCTGCATTAGTAGTGTCCCTCATCTACTGAGCGCCAGTCGGACGAAGGAACGATCGAAATACGAAGCACGGCCTTTTTTGTTTGGTGTATTTATTCACTGTTTGTTGCAGACAGAAGTTTAGCGCGCAGTTGAGTCACACACGTTGGACGCCGCGTGTTTACAGAAGTTTATACGATTCGCACACCTACCACCACCTCGCAACGCATCACAACGACGTCGTCGCAGCATGGTGCGGTGGATGGCAAAATAAGCTCCTAAGCACTTTTCGTGTTCGCATGTCGCTTCATTTTCGTCACTTTCTGCACACTTTGGCTGTGTACCAGCCAATTTCCATCATCATCGCCGTATCTGACGAGGGTAGGTTGTCCCGATTGTGCTATCGCGTCATTTGGTCAATTTTTGCCTTATTTTCTTGTACGCTGTACAATGTTCGCGAAATTTGGCACGTCACACCCGTTCGGGGCTCAATTTTGCGAATGAGTGAGTAAATGAGAATTAGCCTTGCCAAAATTGATGCTAAAATGACGAGTGCTGTTTTTCGCGAATGGTTGGTTGGTTGTTGCGCAAATAATTTGCGTGAGTCGCTTTGGGTTGTCTTTTCAGGGTTGCTAATTTACGACCTTCATCCGCTGGTGCAAAACACCAGGTGAAACCACTTTTTTTAGCGATGGTACCTAGTTCAACCGCTTCAACAATGTATCGTTTGTGTTTGTTTTTTTTTGCAGAATCGGTCCAGAACACAGCTGCCGCTGCGGATAGCGCATCTGATGCGCAATTAAATGGTCCAACGCCGATGGACACCTCGTCGCCTGCACCTTTAACGACCACGACGTCGACAACGACGACAACGGCAACAACTCCGACAGCAGCGACCACAGCATCAGCGTCTGTATCCATCACACCAACAACAACATCAACAGCTTCAGCAGCAGCATCAGCCGGGCAACCAGCTGTCGCGTCGTCGGATGAGCCGGCAGGTGCAGTCAGTACGACTACTATCGCGCCACAGACAACGACAACGACCAGTGCCTCGTACACGACAACGACCACCAGTTCGCTTTCGTCGTCGGCATCGATTACTACTACCAGCACGGCGGCCACCAGTGTAGCCACAGTAACGGCTACATCCGCGATGACTCCAGCCGTCGTCAGTGCTAATGGATTACTGTCGACAAGCACAGCAACGCCGACTAATACCGCTACGGCAGCCGCCGGTACAACTCCGACATCAACTCATACCGCTGCCAGTACCCCCACCACCCACACTGGTGGCAGTGCGGCAGCAACCGGTTGCAACACCGTGGCCGGCACTGGGCTCCTACCCCAGAGCAAAACCGGAACAACCACGGATAAGGGCGGTCTACCGAAGGCCATGATCAAACCGAACGTACTAACGCACGTCATCGAGGGATTCGTGATACAGGAGGCGAACGAACCGTTCCCGAACCACTGGCAACGCGGGCCGGAGTGGGACTCCTGCGACGAACCTCCGAGTAAGTACTTGACTATGCTTTTTGTTTCGATTGGTTTCGTATAGTTTTTGTTAGTCATTGCCATGCAAATTTGCTGTTTTGCGCATCAACTATCCAAGCAATTAAGTGCTTTATTGATGGATTGAAAACAACCGGTTAAAAGTAATGTGTTAAACGCAAATGTTATTTAAAATACAACTTCTTCACGGTGTCTCTGGTAGAATACCATTATTTAACGAAAAATCAGTATCACTGAAACACCCACCAAACGAAATCTTAGGTTCCCCTTAATTTACAGCTAGTTTCAAAATGTTCTACCGAGGGTAATTTTTCCTTAATTTTTTGGGCTTAAATGGGTTTGAAGATTTATTTTGAAAGAAAAAAAAAAGATACGAAAACATGTAAAAATTATTCTAGGATTCTAGGAAAAATCGGGGGGATAGAACATTTTCATACTAGTCTCAAATAAAAGGTGCGAGCCAAAACTTTCGTTTGGTGGATGTTTCAGCGACACTGAGTTTTGTTTTTCTTCCAGAGTCTAATTTGACGGATTTCGATCATACGATCGGTTTTGGCTTGGTAGAATAAAAAAACAAAAGCTGGATTAATCCACCTATGGTGAGATAAGAACCTTCTTAATTTTTAAAATTCCTATGAATGTTCAGAAATCTTTCAGTTGAGATTTTAAAATTGAATGATTATATATTTCAATGAACGATAAACAAAATGGACGATATACATTTATCAAGAAAAGTCAAATCGACGTACAGTAGCGCTCAAAAGTCATTTTTTCAACTCTTTATTTATTCCGAATTCAAAATAAATTGCATTTCATTTTAACCTAGGTGCTCCAGTTACTACAGTAACTTACCAGCCTTAATTGGGTTCTTTAAAGGTATTGAGGTAAATGCATATTCGTAATCTGCATTATAAATGAAACCCAAACCCAAAATTTCATCAATTTTGGCACACTGGAACTATTTTAAATAAGTACGATTACATTTGCAAACATCACCTAATTAGCGCCCCTCGGTGTCACTTTGTATGGGAGCGAGCTGTCAGTTTGTCAGTTTAGTGTCAAACAGTGAAGTTACTATTTTGCTTTAAATCATGATTTAAAAATCGAGATGAAAGTGCGTGGGGTTGAAAAAAATATCGCTGTGCTCAGAAAACGAAGCTCTTTCAGATGATATATAAAAACCGATATATTTTTCAAAATTAAAGAACCCAATTGTTATGATATATATAGTTATATATAGCTTTTTTTTTTACATTGTTCCTGCCTTGGCAATTCAGTATTTTAAGCAGTTTTTTTTTAACTGCATGTCAGTATAACAATTTACATCTTAAAACTAAAAACTATTGAGGATTGCAACGATGTTTGCCTGAAATTATTATTTTTTTTTTGCTGTACATTAGTTCTACAGTCTCAACATTCGAAATTCTATGTACCTCGGTAGTACTGTACCAGGGAAGCAACTTCAAAATCATCTTCAGAACTTTGTTCTGAATCTTTTGAAGTGCTTTTTCTTCCTGGTAGTGCAACAACTAGACCATATTGGCACAGCGTAAAGCATGGCCGGTCTGAAAACTTGTTTAAATATTAGAAGTTTATTCGTCAGGCAAAGTTTGGATTTCCTGTTTATAAGAGGATACAAACATTTTAAATATTTGTTACATTTGGCTTGAATGCCCTCAATGTGATCTTTAAAAGTTAATTTTTGGTCAAGTATTAATCCAAGATATTTCACTTGGTTTGACCAGGAAATTGGAACTCCTAGTGACTATGTGACTACTACTAGGTTTTAAAAAAGGAAGCTCTAACCTTATGTGGAAATATTATAAGTTGAGTTTTGGAAGCGTTGGGAGAAATCTTCCATTTTTGTAAATAAGAAGAGAAAATATCTAAACTTTTCTGCAGTCTGCTGCAAATAACACAAAGACTTCTTCCTTTAGTGGAAATGCCTGTGTCATCAGCGAACAAAGATTTGTGGCAACCCTGAGGTAAATCAGGGAGGTCCGAAGTGAAAATGTTATACAATATAGGCCTCTTACCTCGAGGAACTCCTGCTCTAACATGTAATCGACCAGATTTGGAATTTTGATAATTTACCTGCAGAGTTCTGTCAGTTAAATAATTTTGAACTAATTTCATAATATAAAGTGGAAAATTAAACTTTTTTCATTTTAGCAATCAAACCTTCATGTCACTCACTGTCGAATGCTTTTTCTATGTCTAGAAGAGCAACTCCAGTTGAGTAGCCTTTGTTTGAACAAATTAAAGTGGTAACTCTTAAGAGTTGATGATTAGTTGAATGCCCATGACTAAATCCAAACTGCTCATCTGCAAAAATTGAGTTCGTATTGATGTGAAGCATCATTCTATTTAAAATTATCTTTTCATAACGTTTACGTATTGAAGAAAGCTAACTTATTGGACGGTAGCTAGACGCTTCAGCTGGATTTTTATCCGGCTTCAAAATTGGAACAACTTTTGCATTTTTCCATTTATTAGGAAAGTATGCCAAAATCTGTTAAATAATTTTACCAAGAAAGACAAGGTACTCTCTGGGAGTTTTTTTTGATGAGGATATATTCCATCATCACTTGGAGCTTTCATATTATGAAACCTTTTAGTTATAAATCTCACTTCGTCCAAATCAGTTCCCCGGGAATCATCAAAAATATTTTCCCGCGAGAAAATATTCAGATAATCCCGAGCAACCTGATTTTCAATAGGACTAGTAAGACCCAAATTGAAATTATGGGAACTCTTGAATTGCTTAGCAAATTTCTGATATTTTTCCGAATTTGTGATCAAAATTTTACCACCTGCTTTAAGCGTTGGAAAAGGCTTTTAATGTTTTTTTTTCAAAATTTTTGTTATGTTTTTTTCAAAATTTTCAAAATCTAAAGGGTTTGGAACCCGGGTCTTATTTAGAAACATTATTTTCAAAAGTTTTGTTCCTCAGGGCAGAGAATCGCTTTTTAATTTGTTTTTGAAAATCCCGCCAGATAACTTTCATGGCAGGATCGCGTGTTCTTTGATATTGTCTTCTACGGACATTTTTAAGACGGTTCAAGAGCTGAAGATTGTCGTCTATTATGACGTTTTTGCTTACTGAGCAGAAGACCGTGGGTTTAGTCCCAAGCTCCTTTGCGTTATATGATCGTTAGGACATCAATTCAGCTTATCGTTTTCCAAAACGAACCCTGCTGCAAACCAACCCTCTTATCCAACATCCCAGTGATTCCTCGTGGAAGTGCAAAGGTGTTCTCGGCTTCCATCAAAGCGAGTGTCATGTCAACACAGTTGCCGTGTTTTTACACATTGAGGATGATTGCTAGTCCCAAGCATCGTCTATTGGTTCTCTGTGTAATTACAGCTGATCTGGCAGTAACAGAGTAGCAACCGTGGGCGGTCAATCAAGCTCAAGCAAGCAAGCTCAAGCTCAAGCTCAGTAATCATGTCAATTAATGATTTCTGTAAAAATTCCATTTTAGGGGCAGTAATGCTTCCTAAGTCAAAATTTTCAAAATTCCCGTTAAAATTACGTTGGTTAGTATTATGATTTACTACCCGTTGCAATAGCAGCATAGGTAGCTCCATTAACTTGCTGAACATTGTTAGCAGCGAGGGGAGTAGGTACAGATGAAAAATTTGAAGCAGGGGTGATATTTATACCTACGGGTACGAATGTAGAATTTGTTCCTCGCTGACCGTTGTTAACAGCAGAGGAATTTGTATCTGGTCGAGAACGTGGAACGTTTCCTACTTGTCGCTTAGAACGAGATTGTAGGATCGCTTTGCGAGTCTTACATTCCCAAAAAATTAGATGTGTGGTTTTCACCACAATTTGAACATTTAAATTTCTTATAATCTTCCTTCACAGGACAGTCGTCCTTTGCGTTAGAGGAATCACCACAATTCATGCATTTGGATGGCATGTAGCAATGTTTAGTTCCGTGACCCCATCCCTGGCACTTACGGCACTGGGTGAGGTTTTGGAAATTTCCTCCAGTCTTCCTGAAGTGTTCCCACTTCACTCGGACATGGAGCATAAGGCTAGCTTTTTCCAAGGCCTTAAGGTTGTTTAGTTCACTCGACTTGAAGTGAACTAAATAAAAATCATTAGAAATCCCGTTGCGCGAATCGCCAGGACGGGATTTCATTTTCATTTTGATTACTTGGAGTGGCACAACTCCAAGTAATTTAGCCAGTTCATCTTTGATCTGATCCAGGGATTCACCACTGGGCAGTCCTTTCATGACAACCTTGAACACACGTTCAGTTTTGGTGTCGTAAGTAAAAAAAATTGTGCTGCTTCTTAGTATGATACTTGAGAAGACATTTAAATCCGTCCAAGGTTTCAGCCAATACACGGCATTCACCCCGACGTCCAATTTGTAGTGAAAACTTAACTTTCACGAAATTCAAAAGTTCCATGCGAAGAGCATGGAAATCGGAAGGGGTTATCACAATAGGGGGAATCTTTTCCTTCTTGGCATTAAGCCGGGAGAGTTTACTAGAATTTTTCTTGGATGATGCATCATTCTCATCATCCGTGAGCAAATCAAATTGATTACTCAAATTAATTTCATCAGAAGGGGGGTCAAGAGTTTGCCCCTTTCTTTTGCGTTTAGGCGCCATGGCGGCAGTAAATTTTTATCCAAATCGACTTCCAAGCAGATTACTATAAGAATCTGAAGGATCGAAGAGGAATTTTCCAAATCGATATCCAAGAAGGATTACCTCGGGTAGGGTCCAAACAAGGATCGAACAAGGTAGAAAATTTTTACAGGTTGAGCACTGAAAAGTGCTGTTTAAATTTTTTGTAGCTTTAGGTAGTAGTAACACTTCCTTCAGTACAAACTAAATAGATCCGCACGGCAAGAGAGCACGATGCGGACTGACGGGAGTGCTTCCTTTGTTTTTTTAAACAAAGGGTGTAAATAGTCATACTTTGCACTTTTAAATGCTTCTGTTGTAGCTATTGAATTGAAGATTCGTACCAAATAAA